GGCCAAGATATTAAAAAAAACACTTATTCTATTCCCCCGCCCCATACTTTATGACCAGTCTCATATACCTTCAAGCGTCTTTTTTTTTTTTTTTTTGTTCAGTGTTTCACGTAGCGGTAAATCATTACATTAAATTGAAGTAAATTGAATTGTACTCAAGTTATACAGTTATATACACATTCATAGATTTATACGTTTCGGTTTGAATTCATAAAATGTTTTGGATTTTTATGATTTTATCTTGTTTCAGCTGTTTCAGCCGTTTCAGTTTCAGCTTCTTACCGCGACCCCAATCTCAATCCAATGCTGCCAATCTGACGCTAGCTTCAATTCGGTAAGCAGTCCGCGAGCTATGCTATTGTTATTTCATACCTCGTGCTCCAAAGATTGACCTTTCAAATTTTCGTTTACTTGTATTCCGTTGGCCAGTCTTCCAGGGCTTTTTTTTCTTACAAATAATTTTGTGGGTTCCTTGTTTTCGTTATTTAGCACCTGATTGCAGATAGATAATTCTATAACGTCTTTTCCTTCTCTTATTGCTACGCCGCATACACAGGTTGCTCCGGATTTGTGACATGTCCAACTGCGTACGTGAACCTATTTTTAAAATATAACACTTTTTTTGTTAGGATTAAAACTCAGAGACTTAAACAATAAGAAGATACATGAAACAGCAGGTAGCTTACCTCGACTTTTAGGGCACTGTTTTTGTACATTAGGAAATCGCCTGCTTCATTGTAACTAAAACGCCTTATAGAAAAAATAAATAAATTTAATAAATCAAGATTTAAGGAAGATATTATAAAGAGTACTGCTTATGACAAAAACGGAGGAAATTCATGAGTTCTTAAGTTTAAAGTTTTGCCTACAGTTTCGCATGAGTAGAAATGGTTGACATTATTAGTATAAACCTACTAATGGTCTATCACAAGTCCTGTGCTCTGATTCGTTGAGCTACTAGTGGTCTTATAGTATTAATGTCGGAATCGGGAGTATCCGAAGGTTTCCTAGTTTTTCTTCGCTGCATGCTTACGCCTCTATATGCAAGCGGTTTTCGCTTGCAATTTCATGAATGAACTGCTTCTGACTCCGATTCCAATTACAGCGTAAGTGCCGATGGCTAGCCAGTTTATCGGGGTTGTTGTCTGCACAACGGAAGACGAGCAGTCCACTGCAAAAAGGAATGCGTTCATTTTTGAGAATTTCATTCAGAAAAAAATGACGAAAATTACCTTCCTGCAAAAGTATGCAAATAAGGATCTGAAGTTGAGCGACATGAATTGGTGTTGATGTTATCCACTGATACCTATAATTGAACATTATACACTAAATTTTAAAATCTCTCATTGTCAGTAGTAGTAAATGCTGTTCTTGAATTAAAGTAAAGCTATATTTGATTTGTCATCTGCAATTGCCTTTATATCACACCTATTTCAGAAATCCTTGTCGCACCAAAAGCCTCAAGCAACAAGCCAAGACCGCAGAGAACGCCAGTACTTTTAGCTGTAATTAGTTTATTCATGGTGCATTTTCACTTATTGACTTCACAAATTGCTCCGAGCAGGGCTGCTTGAGATGATAATTAGTGGAGAGCTATAGCCATTTGCATGAACCATAAATAAATCAATTGTAATTAAAAGTACTCATGCAGTTTACCAGTGTAAGTTTTACTTCATAGATTACACTTTTTTATTGTAACTGCAGTCGAACTCAACAAATAAACATTGCCGGACCAACCAAAGGCCGGTTAAAATGAGAAATTTATCGTTTGAGTGATAGCAGTTATAAATGGGAACTATATGTGAATGAACGATATGAACTATAACCTACCTTTAATGATGGCATTCTATACGCCACACTATTCCAAAAAGGATTACTTGTAGCTGGTCGAAAATGAAAGAGATAGCTTTGTCGATCTTCGTTTAGGTTATCACAAATCCCACTAATTGCGATTGATTGTCCCTTGGTCATGTCTTGAGTCGTTAAATCAACGGAGCATTTATCGACTGCAGCTTGCTGTTTTTGTGCTTTGTACTTCTCTGGTATGAGAATCGACACGGTAACACTGTCCAATCCAAATCGTGCAGGCAAAAAAGGAACAGTTGGTCTTAATGTTACTGTCGCGTTTCTATCTCCTTTGCATTCTTTAACGAAGATATGTCGTGGTGAAACCTAAGTATAAAGACAAGACGAATATTCTTAGCTGTAACTTTTTATTTCATCCGTATTATTTATCGATTTTCGACAGAAACTTAAAGACGCAACAGGTATAATCAATGCTGAAAGTTTTGAGAAGAGGTGGTGTGCACTTTAAAATTGTTGTTTTCATACTAAGTAACTGGTTCGCTTCTCATTGAATAGGTCAAGCCAGAAATTTGCCTTTTGATGTAACAAAAATATGTGATCATTGATCATACTTGCCTCTATTCCAACATAGTATTGTTTGCTGTCTTTACCAAATTCTGTCCATTCATTCATTGAACTTGTCGAATACTTCATTTTCAGTCTGCAGCTAACCTGTTAAAATGCTGTCCTATTAAAAATTCGAATGTTGAGAGAGCGAAAGCGGACAGAAAAGTGGCTGACTGCTTTGGTAGATAATAAACAGAAAATTCAAAATTGAAACTTTTTTCACCTGAAATTGCTTATTTCAAAAATGCAAAGAAAAATGGGGTGTCCCGAGCTTGTTTTTGAGACGTCATGACTCCGGAATGACATGCGCTTGTACAATTTTGGAAAAAATAGCGAAAATCAAGCTCTGTACAAAAAAAATCATAAAACCGAAACTAAGGAAGAAACCCGAGTAATTTTCTCCGAACACGTAACTTACACTCACTATATTTATAAAATACTGATAAAAGTTGTTTTAATAAGCTTTGTAGACAATGGAAAAACAGATTCCATACAATTTGTTACTAAATAGATACAATTGGTATTTAGTTTGATTTTATTTCGCCTCAAAAAAAAATTATCATGATGTCATGAATACTACTTTCAAAACTTCACGGGTATCTATAGATTCCGAATTGTATGACTCTACAGAGTCCATGCAATTTCATATACTAATAATAATAATTAATATTATAATGGATAAAAGAAGTGACTTCAAGGTTGGTGAACTAACCGTATCTCCTACTGCGAAATGCCCGTCTTTACCGACTTTTATCGAGCTTTGTCTCTGAGTACAGTTGTCATCATCTCTTTCGCACCACGAATCTAACAAGACAGGTGAAGTAAACGAATTTGCGTACCACTCAACGAGATATGAGACGTTGTTCCAAGCAGGAAACTTAAAACTGCAAACCATTTGTAAAACTGAACTTCCTCCATAAGTGATGGTTGGTAATGGGACAAGACTCTCCGGAAAAACGTTTATATTTGAAACTAAGAAATAAAACAGAAAACGATACGAGCTTATCATTAAACCACACCAGAGCGCGCAGCTACTTTACTGGATTTTATATTTGATTTACGTACTTTTGCAATTTGGGGGCGTGCCTTCTTTTCCTCTGGGACATGGTTTCCTGTCACCTGTTAGCAAGCAAAGTAAAAACGTATTGAGGACTTTATGAAAGGTTTTGACTGATACCACTGAAGATTGCCGATGAATAGTATTCTTGACGTGTACTCGGTCTAACGCCAAAGTTGGTATCGAGCATTTAGAATGAGTGTATTATGTATCACTCGACATTTCTTGTGATGTAAATGTCTTTTTACATATATTTATGTCTTATATATATTTCTTTTAAATATATATATCATAAAAAATACTAATATTAAAAAACTAACAATCAAAAGTTAAATACAATACTGTAAGTTATTTAAAGAATATAAATCCAAATTCATTTGAATCGATCATAAACTTAAATTAATTAGAAATTTAAATATGAATAACGAAAACTACAAAAAAATATATAAATATATATAAATCCCAAATCTGATGGTAGACTTAAATGATTTCAACTTAGACTAGGGTTTAATGTTATGTTGTTCGGTAAACTCAAATTGAACACTCGATTAACTGAACTTTTAAATGTAAAGCTCTTAACATTCCTTTTGTTCACGGTAATCAGTTTCACTTATATTTTACCTGCACAATATGCCATAGCACATCCTCTTGGGGGAGTGAGGTGATACACATAGACGTTCCCTTCGCACAATCGGACAGATAAAGGCAAAGTAGTTGAACAACCTTTCCTTATATTAAACAAATTAACGCAAGCTTCTGCCTTAACAGTGTTTCCTATAGTTGTGGGCAAACTTCCTCTCATCCAGATTGGTGCAAAAGTTCCACAGTGCAGGGGAGCTGGTTTCGATATGGGTATCTGCAAACCGTCCTTAAATTTATACCATCCTTCGGATAGTTTTCTGTCACAGAGCGCTTTTTCTCCCTTTTTTAACTTGTAACTAGCACTTCGAAAAGGATTATGAATTTCCCTAGCTTTTCCACAAGGATCACTACAATCAATCCCAGTAGCCATTAAGAATACTGAGACTAATAGCAATGTCAGGTTAAGGTACGCATCCATCATATTTGGCAGTTTCTTCAAAGCCTGACAGTTTCTGTCCTTTGCGGTTCACTGTTCACTGTGGTGTATTTATTGACATTATATATATATTTTTTAATTTGAAAAGTGATACTTGGGTTAATTACCACTAGTCCCTTTTTAGGCAAATTGTCTTCGCAATTTCAGGATATCGCATGCTATGAAAGGTCATATCAGTACAAAATTGTTGAAATACATATTTTAAAAATCATTAGTTTCTCTCTTTCTTGGATGGATTAATTGATATTCAAAGGCCGGTGCAATATAATTGCAATAAAATTATGGTTAAATAGGACAAAAACGCGAGAAAAGATTAGCTGCTAATTGTTTCAACAAGATCCAAGGTCAAGTAATATCTCGCTGATGACTAGCATTTTAAAATTAAATTCCGATATAGTTTCGTGCACAATTACCAAGAGAAGACAAATGTGTATATATACAATACTAACTCCTCTGTGCACTGATATACGACAAAAACAGCAAAAGCAAAAATAATAAAATGGAATGACTTTCAAGAAAATGAAGTAGTGGAATTTGTTGGTTTATTTTTCAAGGTAGTGTGGCAGAGGTCAGACTTCCTGTTTTGATGTTTTAATTGCATCTATAAGTGGGTCGGTTGATGCATAAAGGTGAGATGTCTATTTTGGCCCATATTGACCTGTCAAGAATCAGATATTTTTTAAAAAGTTATTTGGCTGGAATGTTTCGATTTTTCCCATTTAATGAACTAAGAAGCAATGTACATAATCGATGTTCTCAATAATCCCTATTTAGGCAAATTGTCTTCACAATTTCAGGATATCGCATGATATGAACGAAAGGTCATATCGGTACAAAATTTTTGGAATACATATTTCAAAATCATTTGTTTTTATTTTTTTTGGACGGATTAATTGATATTCAAAATAAGGCCGGTGGAATTTAATTGCAATGAAACTGATCATGGTTAAAAAAACAAACATGAGAAGATAAAAACATGAGATGAAAATATAAGCTGCTAATTGTTTGAACAAGATCCAAGTTTAAGGAATGTCAAGGATGGTTTTGCACAAATATCAAGAGAAGACAAGTGTATATAATACTCACTCCTCTCTGCACTAATATACGACAAAATCAGAATGACTTTCAAGAAAATGAGTATTGCAATTATAGGTTTGTTTATTCATCAAGGTAGTGTGTCAGAGGTCAATCTTCTTCCTGTTTTGCATCTACTGGGTCGGTTAATACAGCAATTAAAAAAGGGGCGAGAAGACTATTTTGACTCATATTGACCTGACAAGAATAAGAGGTCAAACTTCTTCCTGTTTTGCATCTACTGGGTCGGTTAATACAGCAGTTAAAAAAGGGGCGAGAAGACCATTTTGACTCATATTGACCTGACAAGAATCAGAGGTCAATCTTCTTCCTGTTTTGCATCTACTGGGTCACTTAATACAGCAGTTAAAAAAGGGGCGAGAAGACCATTTTGACCCATATTGACCTGACAAGAATCAGGCAATTTTAAAAGTTATTTTGCTCGGATGTTTCGATTTTTCTCATTTACTGAATTAAGAAGCGATGTACATAATCGATGTTCTCGAAAATCCGAATAGAGAACGAAACTTTATTTGTCACATACTGCAAAATACTGCCCACGTATCTGGAACGTGCGGAAACAAGTTTGACATTCCATCACATCTCCCCTGAAGAAGTATACTACTCAACGTTCAAGGTTTTTGAGTTTTCGGTAGATCTGCGGAATCTACTTCCGGGTAGATTCCGCAAAGTAATCAGTCTTAAACAACTTGATTTGCATTTTTGTCATTTGAATATTTCGTGTTTTGGAGATAGAAATTCACTAAACACACTTTAAGTTTTATGTGCCCCGCTATGAATCAATGCAAAACGCCCAGAACACCCAGACATATACAACCCAGGGTATTGATAACCTGTGAATAATAGGATATGATTTCTTGATGAGTTCAGTGCATGTTAATACTGTCCACAGGAATCAGGGGATTAATTTCTTATCAACATCAATAATATCATGTTCAAATGAGGTTTCCCTGTTTTTCCTTTGATATGTAAATTAAGGAGAATTTCTTGCTTATCAGTCGTCATTCTTTGTCGTGCGTTATTATCAGGCCTCATCCACCAACGTATTCGGATATTTTTGAATCCGCAACTTTTTCGTTGCGGATTTTAAAAAATTCGCGTCCACACGTAGCGTTTTCGAATCGTCTTAGACCGTCCACACGTATCTGATACGTTATCCAGATATCAAAATCTTGGGTCAACAGAGCATGCGCACTTGAGCATGACCATGAGCCCGTGCTAACGATTGGCGCTGTTGCGTCAGCGTATTCAAAAATATACGGATTCGACCGTCCACAAGACGCCGGATTCACTCCGTATTCAGATCATATTCAAAAATTTGCGGATTCGTCTAGCGTATTCGCCGGATACGTGTCGACAGAAGGCCAATTTTCAAAAATTAAAAATTCAAAAATATCCGGATACGTTGGACGGGGCCTCAGTGTGATACTGGATTGACTCAGTCTTTYGAGTTCAAAGAATTAGGCGCAATATCATCTTCAAGAACAAACGACTTTCTAAAACCACAGAGCATGCARTCCCAACCTTACTTAATATTCTCTTGTTAAAGTTCATATATTTAATTGTTGGCAACCCCTACATTTTTGTGTTAATAACCACTTAGAAACCTCATAGGTCGTACAGGACACCTGGAAGACGTTTTTGTGCTTCCGCCGGTAGACCAGAGTTAGATTTGTTTTACTTTTTTATATATCTCTGAGTTCTTTTTTACGAATCAAACACCATGCAAAGATATTAGGTATTTTCACTTTATTGATTATACGCGATCGATCTCAGGTGGATTACATGAAATACTTGGTTACAAACAGTTTGATGCTGTCAACTTATGTACTTATTGACTGAGTGGGAGGGCCGTACGGGAAAATATTTGGCTCGAGGTCATGTCGTACGGACCGAGCGCAGCGAGGTCCGTACAAATGACCGAGAGCCAAATATTTTCCCGTACGGCCCGACCTAACTCAGTCAATAAGCATTTTATCATATGACCCTCACGAAAATAAGAATAAATAAGAAAAAGAAAGCGCGCGGATTCGAGCAGGGCCGGACGGGTTTTTCCGGCCCGCTTACGTCAACCCGTCCGGCCCCCATCACGTAATTTTTTCCAATGGTTTTATTAGAGCGCGCGAGCAGGGCCGTACGGGTCATATGATAAATCTACTTAATATATTTTACACATGCAAAATGTTTATTTATTTTAAGTCTTGTTCTTGCCTTGCAAGGTCTGCAGTCATCTTGTAATGATGCTATGGTTAGGTAGGTGAATGGCATCTGATTAGACATGCTTTTTACTATCCCCGATTATCACAGCTAGCTATGTCATATAAGTCCCTGATTATATTTATTTGATAAAAAAATAATCATTCCTTAGAAATAAAATCATAATGAAAGTATATATAAGTGAAAAATAAGCCATTCGCTCTGAAATTCCACTCGAGAATGGATACCTGTCCGCCTCAATTTCATCTGCAACTAAAAACTCTAGATTAACTTTTATCATTTGAAGTAAACCTATAAAAAAACATTACTTTAATAAACGAGAAGGAGTGGTTTTTCACGAGATATACTACGATGCTAGTCTAAGTGTGTTCTGTTTTCTTAGCAATTCAAAGCTATTTGAGAATTAAATATCTTTGTAAGGAATTCAAAGATTTCTACTTGCTTAGGCCCAGGGCCGTAAGAGAAGAGTTTAAGTTTATTTTCTGTCCATTCATCCCAGTATAAAGTATCATGTATCATATATGTAACGTAGTCCAAAGATCGGCAACTGACACGCACCAGCGTATAACCAATTTTAATTCAGTCAATAGCTGGGATAGGCCTTTTTTCAACAAACAGTCATGTACTGATGATATATGACTTTGATAAAGAATAAATTCAGCTCAAGGTCCCTTGGTGAAGTTTGAAAATGTTTTGGATACGACATTAGTGATCCCGCAAAAATTCTTTAAATGAAGGAAGGCCTAATTTTTTTATTCACCCAGTAACAATCACGTGCCAATTTATTGCAAAAGGCTTATTGATGTGACCAAGGGCACTAGGACACCGAATGTGGTTGGATTTCTATAGGTTTTTTTTCCTTTCGATTATTTGAATTAAATCAACGTTATACTTGTTTGACTTATCTTGTGTCCGYGTTCCTTCGTTCGCTGTTGTAATCTAGACGTTTTCATTCCAAAGGTCAAACGGTTTGAATAGTCTATGAGCGTTGCTTCTTAATTTAATTCAAATAATCGAAAGGAATAAAAAAACCTATAGAAATCCAACCACATTCGGTGTCCTAGTGCCCTTGATGTGACAAACATGAAATAAGGTATGCAATAACCAAACCCGAGTTTAAATCTATCATATTTACCTAGTGAGAACAGAAGAGGAAGTATGTCTTCTTCACCTATCATCAGTTCTTACATAAAGAACTTAGTGGCTGTTTTGGAAGGAAAAAAATAAAGCCATTAACTAATACAATAGTGCTCCTTGAAATAAAAAGATCCTAAGAGACCGAGATATTAGTGCCAAATAGTCTCGTTAACGGGACAGTTACCCAAGTAGGTACCCAAGTAGGACTTTATTGAAAAATCCTTTTATAAATTTTTGATTTAGAATTTGAGGCCGAGATACTGAGTGTCCCTACTACGGAGCCGTACTCACGTTTTGTTTACAATCACTTGAACCACCAATCAACCGAAAATTTTGAGCCATAAGACGCCATTCATTTTCGTTGAGTTTTGCAAAATGAGTCTTTGTTGACTGACAGTCTTTCTTCATTTGAACTTCGTTTTTCATGGAGCAAAAACAAAACTTTTCTTGTTGTTCGGTTTCATCTTCTTGTGGTGGGAGAGCCTTGAAGAAACTTTTGTCTTCAGAAATCCTTGAAAAGCAGCAAATAAGCAAACAAAATTCAAGATTCTCGAGAGTCAGTTTTTATGAAACGGAATCTAATTTAGTAAAGTGTAAACAATGTGTTCGTGGATTCGCATTCACATTACTGCACTATTATTAATTGGTCTACGTAGTGGACCCAAACATTTTGGTTTTTTTTTTTTTTTTTTTTTTTTTTTTTTTTTTTTTTTTTAACAATTATATCGTTGCATTTATTCAATTATTCTATACTATTAGGTACCTCCAAGTCTCCATGAAGTCTTCTTCAGTTTGTACTACTCTTCCATCGCCCCCTTGCCAAAAGTCATCTGTTGGATCATTATTATAGTTGCCACAAAGACCTGACACACGTCCCTTGTCATAGCCTAGATTAGTTATTATGACGCTAATTTCAATTCGATTATTACTCACTATCTCTATGACTGCTATTACCATTCCCGAAGATAGAATGACCTTTAAACAAAGATATTAGTAAGTTAGCATTATAAACTTTTATAACTTGCTAAACCAAAAAAAAGGGGAAAAAAAGAACCATTAAGGTGACCCCAACACGCAATTTCGAGTTTATTTAGCGATTTTTTAACTCGCTTATATCGCGTCAAAACTCGGATAATTCTRAATTTGGACATACTACTAAATACCGCTGTTCGAATAGTTTCATTCAATATTTGACTGAAAATAATTATCCTTCACTGACATCGCTACACACAGCACAGCTACGTCCAAGATAAAGATGTGTTTTCGGACTTCAAAACATTGCAAAAGACCCAAAATTTCATTGTTTTCAGTTACCTTGAAAATCGAATTAATTTGTCTTTTCGTGCTTGGTGGTATTAATTTCTGGTCATAATTAAGATATTTTCATACTTCAAATCACGAAATATTTCAATAACACACAACTTTTATGTGTTATCGTCAATACCCAAGGGCGGATCCAGTCAAAATTGGGGGGGAGGGGGATTAATTGAATGTCTTCCGTCAAAACAACGGAAAACAATAAAAATAGCATCTAATTCTTCAGGGGGTTTTTTTTTCTGCTGAAGGGGGGCTTCAGTCCCCCTTTGCCTCCCTCCCCCTGGATCCGCCCTTGATACCACACAATTTTTATGCCAAACAAAGCAAAGTCACGTGATCGTCTTAACCAATTATATACTAGAATTTGGGACAGTGAACGAAGATTGAATATTAATAAGTATTAATGCTATACAAACTACATTAAAGCGGTGAATCATTACATGTCCAAATCTCCGCACGTAACCCCATGGCAAGAATAGGTGTCTTAGCATTTGGACTTGTATTCCCTTCGATAATTTTCCAGGACTTCGCTTTATGAATCTCAACCTTGAAGACTCTACATTTCCAAAAAAGATGTCGTCACAAACGGAAAAGACTATGACGTTGTCTCTATCTCGTATGGCAACTCCACAGGCGGAATATGTCTGATTATCCCTCTGCAAGAGTCTTATATCAACCTGTGATAATAATAATAATAATAATTTTATAGGGACATTTATTTAAATTTATTGTAGTTAGTTTCCTTTTAGACTGTATAGGTTACGCTGTGGTTTATATGATATAAAGTGCGATGGCTAATACACATAATAACCGAAGAACTTCATATGATTGTACTGAAGGGGTAGGTATACCTGCACTTTTTTTGCCTCGTTACTGTAAAACACAAAAAATCCAGATGAATTCCACTGAATTTCTCTGCAAGATTTATATGATTGTAAGTTAATAAATGCACAGACACTACAGTATCTTTCATTTACATATGTTTACAGTATCTATGTAGACAAGCTATTTACATATTTTTGGGTGCTCGCTTTATTTATTACCTTGAATCAAACGTGCTAATCCGCCTAAACAATAGTCCACATTTTTCGAATTCTGATATTCCATTTTCTGCTGCAAATAACTTAAGATAGGAAAGTAAAAATAAATTCCAGTTAGTTATAGTTGCTTGAGAGGGGTTTCGTATCAGTGTTTACCTGCATCGATGGCATTTCATATACACCAGAAAACCAATCTGGACTAGAAGTCTCTGGTTTAAAATGAAACAAATAGGAATGGCTTGTGTTTGTATTTCCTTCTTGCTCATCACAGATTCCACTAATAGTGATTGTTTTTCCGCGATTGATATCTTCTGTCCTCAATTCGACGCTGCATTTGTCGACGAACACCTTTCTTTCTTGTGGGATCAACACAGAAACCACTACACTGTCAATCCCAACCAGGCCCAAAGGTGACAAAATGGGTACAGTTGGTCTTAAGGTCACAGTAACATTTTTCTTTACTTTGCAATTGATATCGGTAATCCTTGGAGATACCTAAAACACACTCACAAGAATGGCGAAGTTAACTTTTTTTGCCTCATTAAAAAAACTGACCCGAAATCTTAGAAATCAAAGAAACACTTATTTCACCTCGATTCCAACATAGAACTGGTCACTTTCTTGTTCAGATGCTGTCCAGTTGTATTTGGGACTCGTGGAGAACTTCATGTAAAGTTTGCACGAAACCTGTACATTGGAAATTTTGGAAACCTTTTTTGAAATATGAATAATTAACAACACAGGGGCTCATGACATCTTTGTTCTCTGATATGGGCATACATAACAAAATATGAAAGATATTAAACTGGCACCCACCGTATCGCCAATAGCGAAGTGTTGAAAGAGTGTAACTACACTCTGCCTTCTGGTACAGCTGCTGTGGTTGCTTGTTCTTTCTCCCTCCTCTGCAATGCACCATGTCTCGTTCTTAACAGAATTAATTAAGTTTGTATACCATCCAATAAAATATGATACGTTGTTCCATGCAGGAAAGTCAAAGCTGCAAACCAATTCCACCCTTGACGAGGAGTCGTTTCGATATGTGACAGTTGGCTTTGGAACAAGCTTCACTGGAAAATCCAATTCACCTGCTGAAGCTAAAAGAGTGGCAATAAAAACAAAGTGAATCTCTTGAGAATCTTAAACGTTTTTCACGAAAAACAAAAACGGTCAAATCAAGGGTCACGTAATAACCCTTTTTAGCTACCCATCAATTTTGGGGCTCTCGGCCCAGTTCTACCTTTTGGGGTCCCTGCGTGGGACATAACGGCACTAAAAACAATCGGTAAGAAGAACTATTAAATTTCCACTAATTTTTTTCTAAAAMTCATGGCAAAAAGTGCCAACTAAAAACTTACTAACCTAAGCGGCACGTTCTACCATCTAGAAGCAGTTCGTATCCTAAAAGGCATCGACATTTGTAGCTGCCATGTGTATTTTCACATATGTGATCACATTGTCCATTTTTGGTAGCACACTCGTCTATATCTAAAGTAAAGTACACAAGCTTTAATTAGTAAAATGCTTTATTTGTTTTATTATTATCTATTTATATTACTGAGTGCACTTACCTTTACATGACTTCGAGCCCTCTAAAACATAACCTTTTCTACATCCACATTTATAAGATCCTGGGGTGTTGATGCAGACTTGCGAACAGCCATGATGTGATCGAGAGCACTCATTCACATCTGAAAAATAAGGTGGGAAAGGTATTTCCTTTTTGGGGCTTCGTCTTCCGCTGTTTCAACTGAGATCTTTGTTTATCGTCTCAAGATCTTACGCAATTGAATGTTGTTGGGAAGTCTCGGTAAACTTAATTTGTGGACAATATGGCTGCCTGGTTAAAACGATAAAAGTTTGAGGCGCTAAACGAGTCATTTAAACCTATCCTATCAGTTTGTGCATATCAATTAAAATATAACAATCAATCGTGTCATCATACCATATTGGCATCTGGATCCCCTCCATCCACTGTCGCAGGAACATCTATTCGGTGATGTACATCTTCCGTAAAAACACCCACTCCTGCAGATAGCTGGTTACGAAAGAATATACTTAGCTGATCTGCCTATAACTTGTGATGTCATAGCCGTCATATTGGATGATATTATTAAAGCTCTGTCTTTATATTTTCACAAGCTTGTAAATGCAGCAAACCTCAAGAATCTAACTTAATTCCCAAGACCAACAAAGTATCATACGTTATTGAATTACATTATATTAATAATATCACATACGTATCGAGCAGTATCGTCCACTTTGTCTCCAACCTGAGCAACAGTAATAATACGTTTTGTATACTGATGTTGTTCTGGATTCATAGTAGTAAGAACGCCAAGACCTAAATTAATATATTCATAAATCAAATTATAGATTTTTCTAATTATAATTTTTTTAATTTGTTTTCGTTCAGTACATAGCTCTTATTAACCGAGTGTGAGGTCCGTACCGTAAGTTATGGACCGAGTTTTTTCCACTGCCTTATGGCCCAAGCGCGTAGCGCGCGGGCCATAAAGAAGTGGAAAAAACGAGCATCCTTAACTTACGGTACGGACCGAGAAAACGAGGTTAATAAGATACTTGTTATATGGCAAGGCATTGAGATTAAAAAGAGGCGAAGCAACAAAAAGTAAAGTTGACAGCGCATGTCAAACGAAAACTGCATTGGAAGGGCTTTCTGTACGTGCTACAAGTCACGTATGTTTGAGTCGCTCAGAAAGAGAAGTTTTAGTTTACTTTGAATGAATTTAGCTATAGTTTAAAGTTTTCTGAAATACTAGTTAGCAAACGTTAGGCTTTCTTTTGCAAAACATGTAAATGCCAAATGAAAAAAGGCATCAAAAGAAGACCTCAAGAACTCAACATGAGATTGAGAAGAAAACTGTCGTACTTCAAACTCCCTTTCAACTTCAAGATATTCACAACCAAGATGAATAATGCTACAGCCTTCCGTTTGTTTTCCTACCGTACCGTAAGTTATGGACCGCAAATTGACCAATCATAGCGCATGAAATTACCTTGCCATATAATAATTACCATTAATGTATCTACAACCAGATAAAATAAATTTTCTTACCGTGTTCTCTTACAGCGACCCCAGCCCCATATGCCACATTTAGCATTGTAATCTTGATATCTCGTTCGATAAGTCTGGTATGATGTGTAAGCCGTTTCGTACGTTCCTCTTGAACACACGTGACTCCTAACAAACAAATCAACATTTTTCTGTCTCTCTCTTCTACTCTTCATTTAATTTAGCGATTGCATGAAATAAACTGATTTACGAGTAGGTAGTGAGAAAAAAGGCGTCACAGGAGAARGAGAATATTAATAAGTACCTCTCCCCTTTCTCACTAGAAACTGTCAACAAAAGATAAATAAGTACGAGAGATAAACCTGTCTTATTTATTTTCACACTTTGTTTCTCCTTTTCTATATTAATTGGCCGTTAATAGATATAAAGATAAGGTGGATGGAAGAAGGTAGTCAACAGGAAGTGCTACTAACTAAAGCAACATGTTTATGCCTGTCTACTAGACTGGTACATGAGGGCCTTGTTTTGCAAACACGATTCTGCTAGCTGATATGAAACCAACATTCTTTATGTATTGAAATCGACTAAAAAAAACTTACACCCATGAATACGGCTGGATTTCCTCGCTGTCTTCAAAAGCCAGGAACAGGACCAAGAATCCTAGCAAGAATTCCACCAAGTGATTCATGGCTGAATAACTTGTAATCAGTACTAAAGAGATGCGACACTGCTGGACTCGTTGCTTGATCACAATGATCCCTGCACACACGAGTACTTTACCATCCGTCACGAAAACAGACTCCGGTTTCAAGAAACACGGAAGTCTTTTTTGTACAGTCCTGGCAGTATAGTCGTTTGCGGAGATATTTGTAACAACCCTGTTTACTAATACCTCTAATGCTTAACAAAACAGTCGTCCCACTAAAAAAATGGTTCTGATATTTTCTACTGAATGATTTGTTGAGTATATACTAAGATAAATTTACGGATTTTACGCGGGATTTAAATGTATACTCAGATCTTTAGGCGACCTTCAAGCTAATACTTGAGTACAGCAGGACACTGTGTGCGATGCTGAGTTCAAACTAAGTAACTGGATCTACTTGGCATGCTCAATTATTTTTCTCCACAGAAAAAATTTCTGTTCAATGTTTGTAATGACCTTTTGATATGAGGCATTGATTACCTTTAGTACATGTTCTAGCTTATTTTCAATTCATAAAGATAACACGTTTTTAATTACTCAATAATCTCCTTTCTAGGTTATTATTTATAAAAAATGAAACCTGATCAAAGTTTTTCATGCTTTYCTTTTAGCTTCCTTTCAATCAATATGTCTTCCTATTAACAGACAGACTGTTTCTGTTCCTGTTTATTTTTAGTTGTCCCATCTCTTTGAACCTGTGATTTTATCAATCTAAGCAAACGTCGATTTATTGATTTTCTGTATTAAAAATTTCTTAATTAATTATTTGAATTTCGAATTTTGAATAATAATGCAACACTTTCACTGTTATAATTATTATTCTAATTATTGTTTGTTCGTTCGTTCGTTCTGCTGTTGTTTTTGTTTTTGTTTTGAAATAGAACCATACACATCAAAAAGACATTTTGTTAAAAGTATTATGACATCATTTTAATTCAAATTTCTGATTTTCTAGACTATGTTACAAAGTAAAGATGCAAAGACTGCTGGTCAATCAAGATGATGTCATCTATCTCTTTGGTATAATCTTCGATGTAAGGTATGACTCTTGACACGTCTAAAAAAAAAGACGGCTTCACTATTAACTATTAATTGTTGTATTTGCTGTTGTTATCGTTGTTGTGGTTGTCGTGTCAGGAAAGAATCACTTTCAAAAAGACGTAATCTACAGTTTTCCCATTTCGTGTCATTCCCTAGAATACCAATTCTTACGTGTCATTCTCTATAAAGTATTATTTCATTTCATACAACTCGAACAAATCTTATTCTCAAGAGATGATACGTGGCCTATAATGAGGAAAACTTATGCCTAGGTTGATTAGGTTCATGTGTTGGTATAATCGAGAAAAATGACGCTTTCATAGATACCCGGAAGCAGCATATCACACGATCCCAACCCCAGGAAATCCCCATTTCAATAAAAAATTGAATTAAAATTAAGAAACGTTTTATCAATACACCCTAAACCTAACTGAGGTAAAGCTGACCAGAGGTCAGTGGAAAGTGTGTGTGTCAGTTACTCAGTAACAAAGCCGTATAAAGGGGCTATTCCTGTTGTTAAAAATACATTTAGAAAGTATCAATTCTTTGGGCAAGAAGTTTTAGTGTGTACGTACCTCAAACAAGAGTCCTGATCTTAGTGAACGATGGCGTCTCTCCTCTCTGGTACGCATATCCAATCACCTTGAAGTAGTACATGGTGTCTGCCTCAAGGTTATCAATGACGCATGAAGATCCGTAGCAGGCTTTCTTCATATTTAACCTGTCTTTCTGTTTTCCGTAATCTACTTGGACTCTGGTGGATGGAGGTCCTCGTCTAGGCTTCTCGAATTTGAGAAGAATTTCAGTACTGCGTAAAGGCCGACCAGAAACTTTGGTAGGTAGCGAGGGAGCTGGAGATTGAATGACGTTATAAAAACGTTAAAGTGTCTTAGCTTAATTAAGTTAATTTCATCTTCAAACAACTTACTCTTGACGTAGTAACACTGTCTTCTTTGCCAGTTAGGATACTCTCCTTTACTGTTAAAAGCAGACATCTTTACACAATACTCGGTGTACGACTGTAGTCCAGTCACTGTGGTGCTGGTCAAATCCACATTGTATGTTGTGAACACGTTCCAGTTGTCTCTTGTGTATCTTTCTCTGTAGTAGATTATGTAGCCGGCTTTGGTGAGACTGTTTGGTAGACGTATGGGAACAGGTGACCTCCAAATTACCTTCATGGTGTCATATCGAACTGGAGTGATGTCTGTGATGACTGGTGCAGCACTAGGTACTGGAAAACAATGATACAAGACAATAATAAATAGAACACACCGTGACTTTATGTAAAAGAGTTTGTAAAAAAAGCTYCATATCCTACCTCTTTTCTCTGGTACAGCAGCAGGATTTTCACACCGGTCCCCACTGAATCCATTTACGCAWTTACACTGATACAGACCAGATCCCCGTGGGTAGTTGGGGTGGGGTACACATTGACCACCATTCAAACACGGGCATTGTACAATACGCACTCTCA